GACACAGGTATTAGCCCCGGGTCAGCAGGCCCAAGAAACAGGTTCCAAGGAGGGAACACACGTACTGGCCCCGGGTCAGCAGGAAACAGATTCGGAGGGAACACAAATGTCAGGCCCCGGTCAGCAGACCCAAGAAACAGATTCCAAGAAGGAGTCCAGTGAAGGGACAAATTCTATAGCATCAAGTCAACAGACTTTAAAGACGAATTCTAAAGACAACCAGAACAAACGACCATCGTCAAACAGTAAGCCTAYAGACCATAGTACTAGTCATGAAGAGACAAGCACGCAGAATACMAGTCAGCAGGTAGGAGGGGTTAAAGTACCTGGTTTAAAATCRGACTCAAAAGAAGAACCGCCTGTTCCTGATTTGAACAAAAACGAAAAAGGCGTTCCCAAAGAAGACGAAAAGACAAACGCCAATTTTAGTGATATCAAGCTGTTAAAACAGCAAAGAAAAACTCAAAATAGTCAGGAAACAGCTCCTGGAACAGCACCAAGACAGTACCAAGAACAAAGTATCCAAAATGTTGATTCAAGTTTAAAATTACAGCCAAATGGTAATGTAAAGCAGACTTTGACAGATGAAACTAGTGCGAAACTACAATCAAATAAACCTCAAGAGGCTGTAGACACTGGGCCATCTGCTGGGCCCTCTGGATTAAAAGTTGCAGCACCAAAAGAAGATGCTGCGCCAAAYCCATCCGAAAAACAAGAAGCCAAGCAAGGCACCCCTCAGGGCGTAGAACAAAACTCCCCAGCAAAGCAACCAGCTTCCAACAACAGCAAGAATACGCCTCCCGAAAAAATTCTTGTCGCAACAGAAAGTTCATCTCTTCCGTTAGCACTGAATGCTACGAAGCAGAACTCGCCTGAGCAYGAGGGACACMATGGAAATAARACTGARMATGAACAWCCAACTCAAGGTGAGGAAGAGGCACAGCAGTATGATGGTAAAGTAAACTTAAATAAACAAGAAGGAAGCACAGCCACAAATAAYCTTTCACAGTTGACTGGACCGCCACGTGGACAAAACATGGAGCAAGATAAAAGTCGACAGACAGATCAATCTGAGTATGGACAACAGATCAAAGAATCTCAACAAACTGTGACTCAAACAGCTCAGACTCTTAATCCAGGTCAGGCTAATGTCAACAAAGCTGAGCCTGCGATGCAAGAAAATGGTGAACAGCAGTTTTCTGAATTGGGACCTGGAGAGTATATTGGCCAGCCTCAATTAAACAACAAAAACCCTGCGATCAAAGAAAACAACCAACCAGAAACTCAAGGTAAATAGTGACTAAGTTTTTAGAATGGACATATCGTGAGTTCAGTTTGGTTAGTATGTTTAAATAAAGATTCGATCTTATCAAACCCTGAAACACATCAAATTGGAATACACTTACCGCCCTGTTATGTTTTTTTTATGACCACAGACTCATTTGCACAGGCTTAGCGTCGTCTTTTTTTTTATGCGGAGGGAGAAACACCGGCAAAACTAGAGGCAAATCCTCGAATCAAAGGCTATAGACCTAAGACACTGTACTAGCATCTGATGCCAAGTCCAGGATTCGAACCCTAGACCCCAGAGGTGTCACCTTTGATTTTACGACGTATTTTGGAAGGCACTATAGTTCATGATATAACACAATCTTTTTTTCACTCCTTTTTGTGCAGAGTATTGTTTTATCTCATCACAATGAATTATAATTTCATTTTGTAGATTGCAGCGTTAATTTAGGAGTGGTTCTTGACAGCAAGACTACAGCCTATGGAGACGATGATAATGCACAAAAACTTCTCCTGTTTGCCAAAAGGTTGACCCATATGTTCCCAGTATCTCCCGAGGGCAACCGAGTGGGCATGATGGTATACAGTGGGTCACCAAAGCTGAAGGTTGTACACTTTGATCATTTCTTGGATCAGCACACCATGGATAAAGCTATCGATAGTGCAAGCTTTCTAAACATGGAGATCAAAACAGGTAATAGAACATCATCGATTTGATGTATGTCTTTATTTTAAAATCATCATTTACGCTTCGTGAAATTTTGCACATGTATTTCATTGGCCTCAAGGCMTTTCTTTTGCCAGCACAACAGTTCCCCCTTGTGTCAAAGTCTCTGCAGACAGACAAACAGAAAGATAAACAGGCAGGCAGTATATAATGTGGACCCAAAGTGTGAAGGACAAACACACTTAATCCTTTCTTTCTTTWCGTTCACATTTTCTATCCGATATTTTTTAGGTCGAGTATTGAGCTTTGCCCAGCAGCATCTCTTTTCAAGGATTCCTTCTGGGAAACAAAACATYCTTCTTCTCATCACCGACGGCGTGTCTTACGATGACGTCACAAGACCAGCCCTAGAGCTCAAGAGACGAGGAGTTGAAATATTTGTAGTTGGTGTTGGAAGAAATATCGTACGCAATGAACTTGAATCGATTGCTTCGGAACCTGCTGATGATCACGTGATCATGACGTCATATGAGTTTTCGGATGCCCTGCTTGAAGACGTAAAGCATCGTATTTGTACGTCTGCTCMACGGAGAGGTAAACATATCCGTAGCATATAAAGACTATCAATAGGTTGCTATCAATAGACGTCACTTCCGGTAATAGCTGTGTTTGAATGGCCTGTAGAATCTTGGAGGTTGTTTTAATCTCTTGTTTTCTGGTTTCATGTTGTAGAAATAGTCAAATACAATAGTTTGAGGACTAATTAACATGTTTTGACTTGACATCCGCTAGTTGCCCTTCAGTCAACCACTTGTTTGCCCCCAAGTCAACTCCAAAAAAAGTCACGTGACTGATAGTAAAGCTATAGCGGGATTAGACWATTCAAATAGACCGTGAGGGAATACCATCTTTAATAATACCCCCAAATCCTTGACGCTGATTTCCAACGGTGAACTTAAAATTTTTTCCAGAAAAGATAACATCCCAGAGCCCCCCATTGCATGCTAACTGCGGAAAGGCAGACGTTGGATTTCTGATCGATGGTTCCAGAACCGTTGAAGAACTCAGTCAAGGAAACTTTCAAAAAATTCTAGAATTCGTTAAAAATGTCTCCATGACTTTCCCAGTCTCTTTGGGGAAAGTTCGTATTGGAGCTGTAGTTTACGGCACAGAGCCTTCTCTAGAAATATCTTTTAACAATATCAACTCAACCGATGGGATCCCTGCAGCATTTGATAGTATAAGATATCCCGGGACCTCTTCTATGACCGGTAGGGCTCTCGAGTTTGCTCGGCATAATCTATTTTCTTTTCCGAAYACTCGCCGAGGGGTTCCGAAAGTTCTTGTCGTTCTTACCCAAGGATCCTCGGAAGACAATGTGAGAAAACCTTCGGAAGAACTCCACCGAGATGGAGTCGAGGTGGTGTCGGTGGGACTTGGGTCTATCTATGATCGAGTCGAGCTTGAAAGCATGTCCTCATTACCTGTATCTGATCATGTTATGACTACAGATTATCCTGAATTGCCCAGTCAGACTGAAGAACTAAGAAAAATGATCTGTAAAATTACCCGAAATCAAGAACTAGAAATTTATTAAAATTACGTTGGAAAGAATCCAGGCACCTGTCACATGTGATATACATCGCAAAAACGTTGAATTTGTCGTTAGCTTGACACTCCCCTACACCTATTTAACAAAATCAGTATTTAACAACCAGCAAAATAGGAAGACAGGCATATGTATATTGCGACTTGTCTTTCTCGCTTCTGYGCTACAAATGTAAAACAGGTAAACAACAGGTTGCCGAACGAGTGCGGCGTTCGATCACTCGAAGTGCATGCAAGTGACTTAGGTGATCCCAAACACAAATGAACGATATTAAATGATTATTAGTTATTATTCATACATCCAAGGAGTTACGTTAGTCTTATATGCATACACTCAATTGTAAAATCATTGTCGGGTTAATAAGTAACAGAACACAGAAGCTGAAACCGAAAGACATTCTGGGAAATGACATAATTAACCCCTGATTTATTCAAAGAAGAGATAACTGGCTCAAAAACTAGTGTGAGGTGCCTCGATGTTTCTAGTGAAACAGTAATGATAAAAGGGTAAATTATACACCGTGAAAAGGTGAAAAAACTTACTGRCGTTTCGGACGCTAGTCCTTCGTCGGAGTAAAAGATGATGTATTCATTTGAGATACACASTGAATATGAAATATGTGTTAAAATCCTCCAAGCTTTCTGTCAGTACAACAATTGACAAACATTCCACGAGATGTATCAATAGATATCTAATAAACGTACTTCCCWTGTACCATTTTGGTCTCAGCTTCTATGTTTTCTTAGTTTCGAACCCGACAATGATTTTGCAATTGAGTGTATGTATACACCTATAGCTATTTCAGAAATCGTTGTCGCACCAAAAGCCTCAAGCAACAAGCCAAGACCGCAGAGAACGCCGGTACWTTTAGCTGTAATTAGTTTATTCATGGTGCATTTTCATTTCTTGACTTCACAAATTGCTCCAAGCAAGGCTGCTTGAGATGATAATTAGTGGAGCTATAGCCACTTGCATGAACCATGAATAATTAAATCAATTATATAATTAAAAGCACCGACGTTCTCTGRAGCCTTGGCTTGTTACTTGAGGCTCTTGGTGCGACAACGATTTTCGAAATAGGTGTATATTGATGGTGATTGATAACATTTATTGGCATCAAYCAATTGCATGATTAGGAGGAAGGTGCAGCGCATGTCAGCGAATGGCTAAACCTCCGTACAGAATGAATATATTGCATGATGAAATGACCAGGAAAGCAAATATCGAGAGCAGACGTGAGCATAAAAAATCGTCCTTGTCTTATGAGGGTAGCACTTATTAGGCAGTGACTATCATATCGAACAACAACAACAACAACAACAACAACAACAACAACAATAATAATGATGATGATGATGATGATGATGATGATTATAATAATAATAATAGCAGCTTTACTCCCGTATTATGGCGAGTCCTAGAATCCAACCCAAGACCACTGTGTTGAAATGTGACGTATTAGACCACCACCACAGGTAGCCCAAGCTAKGTGTCTGTGATGTCATGTTTTTTCATATGTGGTTAGCTTTTGGATGTATCACTTTTCAAAGGTCAGCATTTTCTTATTTAACATTGACGAATTTATATATTGGGGTTTYTAAGGCTCGCAATATATTTTCTTAGAATTTGACACCACAGAAACCTAGCTTGGGCTTCCTCTGCTTGAATGTGCTTCCTGTGCTTGGTATTCACCATTTTCCGTGAGTCGGTTCACTGGTCAAACACAAATAATTCAGTCGTGGTTGCAAGGTTCAAATTTGAATAATCCTTTAAAAGTACCTTTGGTGCCTCGATCGCTTGAGCGCTTTGTGTTTRACCAGTGAACCAATGTATGGAAAATGGCGAATATARCAATTCGGGTAAAGTGAGTTTCAAGAAGAAAAATTTCCGTTTCCATGAATAAAATAGTACAGAATAAAAAACTCYATGAGGAAGGAATTCAAAGGCTTATCCCCAAACACCAGATGCAACTTTCCGTTATCTGAACGGGCCTTTATCCTACAGTAAATGCTGCAATGGCAAAAGCTAACGGCACCCATCTAATGTTAGAAATGACTGCATTGCTGCTTTACTATGCAAGATTGCTGCTTTTGGAACTAAAAAAATACACGACATATACAGATCGATGAGTTCCAAGCAGTCCCAAGAGAGTTAAAAGACAAAAAATAACGTTGGGACCATTTTGGTGCCATTAAGAATGGATGCTAATGAGAATTATTTTTTTCATAAATGACACCAACGCTCCCCCGAGAGGCTGCAATGACGTAACGTGCGATCAAAGAATAAATTAAACTGGAAAGTGATTAAATGTTTTCCATYTTTTTTTCAGGTAACGAAGCGTATTTACCAAGACGAAGAGGGCATCTCTATCACGTGCTGTCAGAGATCGCTCGCAAATAAAAATAAAACAACAAACAAGACTATGCTACTTCTATGAAATATTTGAATTATATGGGGTTTTCCCCCTAATCTATGAAGTCAAGCAACTAACAGGCAAGGGGGTACCCAATTGTTAGTTAACAACTATTTTTTTTCTGTTGCCATGTCAGTTAAARATAATTTTACGAGCGCTAGCCATAATATTAACCAAAAATAAYGAAATATCAGTTAACTGTTAATTACTTACCCCATTGGCTCCCTGAAGTAATACTGCATAACTACAGTGCTTCGCAGTGACAAGCGCGAATCGTGCAATTTGCCGTGACAACAAAATAAGGTTTTTGCTGACGTCATTCAAAGAGTTTGCATGACAATTTCGCTTGTGTGATTGGGAAGCGATATTAGATAATTAATATGAATTGGAAGGGGGGGGGGGGTTGTATCTATTTGTGTGTCAGTCAATGTCTATAAACTGTATTTAATCCAAAATTTGTGAGTTAGAGATAAACCTTTTTGAGTATGTATGTTGTTGTTGTTGTTGTTGTTGTTGTTGTTGTTTCTGAATATATAATAAGTGTTAAAATTGAACTTCGCAACGGTTAGGTATTAATGCTGGTGAGATGCAGCTATCCACGTTCGACCAAGGCCAAACAAATTAATATAAGTACCAAAAAGATATAACTAGCTAAAAACTAGTGTAATATAAGTACCGTTTTCCAGTTATTGTATTCGCATGGCACACCTGTATGCCTGTGCTATTGGTATTTGTTAGCCTATATCTTCGTCACATGGCTATCCTTTTAAGTTTGTGGTTRAAATACTTCCAATAAACGAGACAATGTACACTAAATGGTGGTAACTTTTACAATAGCTTTGTTAAGTTCTTTGAGAGTAGTTTTTTATGGTGTGTGGTGGGGAATATCTAAGGGGTTTCTATTTCTATTCTAGATTGCCTATAATCTTGGAAGCATGTATGGGAAGGTATTAAAGGGGMAAATTGGGGCAATTTCATCTCTGATCCTGAAACAACCTCTTAAGTTGATCTACGTAAGGGCATTGCTATTTCGCATGGGGAATTTACTGTGTTATATTATGTGGAGCGAGGAAAACCGAAAAACTGGAGATAAACCMTCGAATCAAAGGAGAGACCTAACGAATTCTRCATTACATGTGATGCTGAATCTAGGAATTAAACCCGAGACCCCAGACGAGTGAATTACCGACTAGTACTTCCCTTGATTTACTCACGAGTCTAAAGCTTTCGACGCAATCTAGAAATTATAAGGGGAGAGGGAAAAAAGGAGATCCCTGAGAAAAATGCCTCGATCAATAA